TATGTGGGACTGATGTCCATGTGGGACATATGTGGGACTGATGTCCATGTGGGACATATGTGGGACTGATGTCCATGTGGGACATATGTGGGACTGATGTCCATGACGGACTGATGTCCATGTGGGACTGATGTCCATGTGGGACTGATGTCCATGTGGGACTGTTGTCCATGTGGGACTGATGTCCATGTGGGACTGATGTCCATGAGGGACTGATGTCCATGTGGGACTGATGTCCATGTGGGACTGATGTCCATGAGGGACTGATGTCCATGAGGGACTGATGTCCATGTGGGACTGATGTCCATGTGGGACAGTTGTCCATGTGGGACAGTTGTCCATGTGGGACTGATGTCCATGTGGGACAGTTCTCCATGTGGGACAGATGTCCATGAGGGACTGATGTCCATGTGGGACAGATGTCCATGTGGGACAGATGTCCATGAGGGACTGATGTCCATCTGGGACAGTTGTCCATGTGGGACAGATGTCCATGAGGGACTGATGTCCATCTGGGACAGTTGTCCATGTGGGACAGATGTCCTTGAGGGACTGATGTCCATGTGGGACAGTTGTCCATGTGGGACTGATGTCCATGTGGGACAGTTGTCCATGTGGGACTGATGTCCATGAGGGACTGATGTCCATCTGGGACAGATGTCCTTGAGGGACTGATGTCCATGTGGGACAGTTGTCCATGTGGGACTGATGTCCATGTGGGACAGTTCTCCATGTTGGACAGTTCTCCTTGTGGGACTGATATCCATGTAGGACTGATGTCCACGTAGGACTAATGTCCATGTAGGACATTCCTCCATGTAGGACTGATGTCCATGTAGGACAGTTCTCTGTAAGACTAATATCCATGTAGGACAGTCCTCCTCGTTGGACTAATGTCCATGTGGGACATTCCTCCATGTAGGACAGTCCTCCATGTAGGACTGTTGTTCATGTTGGACTGATGTCCATGTAGGACAGTTCTCTGTAAGACTAATATCATATAGGACAGTCCTCGTTGGACCAATGTCCATGTGGGACAGTCCTCCTTGTTGGACTAATGTCCATGTGGGACATTCCTCCATGTAGGACAGTCCTCCTTGTTGGACTAATGTCCATGTGGGACATTCCTCCATGTAGGACAGTCCTCCATGTAGGACTGATGTCCACGTTGGACTGATGTCCATGTAGGACAGTCCTCCATGTAGGACTGAGGTCCTTGTGGGACAGTTGTCCATGTTGGACTGATGTCCATGTAGGACAGTTCTCTGTAAGACTAATGTCCATGTAGGACAGTCCTCCATGTTGGACAAATGTCCATGTAGGACTGATGTCCACGTAGGACTGTTCTCCAGGTGTCTTAAAGCTGGTTCTTCATGTTAGACATGAAGGACTCTCACCAAGGTCTCTGTCTCCTGCAGGTCTTGCAGGTCTACCTGGTCACCATGGCAACAGACGTGGGCTCACCGCAGCGGTTCTTCCACATGCCTCGTTTCCAGCACCAGGCTCCACGTCAGGTGTTCTACAAGAGGCCGGACACGGCTCAGCAGCAGGCCATGCAGCAGCTCACCTTCGATGGGAAGCGCATGAGGAAGGCCGTAAACCGCAAGACCATCGATTACAACCCCTCTGTCATCAGATACCTGGAGGTACCTGTCCACTGTCACACCTGTCACACCTGTCCACTGTCACACCTGTTCACTGTCACACCTGTCCACAGTCACACCTGTTCCCTATCACACCTGTTCACTGTCACACCTGTCCACTATCACACTGTCCACAGTCACACCTGTTCACTGTCACACCTGTTCACTGTCACACCTGTCCACTGTCACACCTGTTCACTGTCACACCTGTCAACTGTCACACCTGTTCCCTGTCACACCTGTCCACTGTCACACCTGTTCACTGTCACACCTGTCAACTGTCACACCTGTTCCCTGTCACACCTGTCCACTGTCACACCTGTTCACTGTCACACCTGTCCACAGTCACACCTGTTCCCTATCACACCTGTTCACTGTCACACCTGTCCACTATCACACTGTCCACAGTCACACCTGTTCACTGTCACACCTGTTCCCTATCACACCTGTCCACTATCACACTGTCCACTGTCACACCTGTTCCCTGTCACACCTGTCACACCTGTTCACTGTCACACCTGTCCACTATCACACTGTCCACTGTCACACCTGTCACACCTGTCCACTGTCACACCTGTTCACTGTCACACCTGTCCACAGTCACACCTGTTCCCTATCACACCTGTTCACTGTCACACCTGTCCACTATCACACTGTCCACAGTCACACCTGTTCACTGTCACACCTGTCCACTGTCACACCTGTCCACAGTCACACCTGTTCCCTGTCACACCTGTCCACTGTCACACCTGTCCACTATCACACTGTCCACTGTCACACCTGTTCACTGTCACACCTGTTCACTATCACACCTGTCCACTATCACACTGTCCACTGTCACACCTGTTCCCTGTCACACCTGTCACACCTGTCCACTGTCACACCTGTCCACTATCACACTGTCCACTGTCACACCTGTCACACCTGTCCACTGTCCCACCTGTTCCCTCTGAACCTGTCTCAGATCCAGATGTCTGTGTTCTGTCTGTAGAACCGTCTGTGGCAGAGGGACCACAGAGACTTCAGAGCCATCCAGCCTGACGCAGGCTGTTATAACGATGTGAGTTTCACACACACTGTTTCAGGATCAGTCCTGTTTGTGTTTACTGCAGGTGTCAGTTCATCAGAAAACAACGTAAACAACCTGCCTCTTTGTTTACCTTGTTGTTTCCTGCAGCTTGTTCCTCCTCTGGGAATGCTGAACAACCCCATGAATGCTGTCACCACAAAGTTTATCAGAACTTCAACCAATAAAGTCAAGTGTCCTGTGTTCGTCATCAGGGTGAGCTGCTGCTGCTGCTGTGTCACTTCCTGTTTACACTGCTGCAGCTGTGTCACTTCCTGTTTACACTGCTGCAGCTGTGTCACTTCCTGTTTACACT